TAATTGAACAGTTTCTTAAATAATTTGACATTTCTAAACCCTTTTTTTTTAAAGTAATGCTCTTAAGAGGTAGCACCAGAAAAATAAACGACATAAATCCACAATTCCAGCATAAAGAGGACATTTAAAAGCAGACTATGTAGAAAACTACAGAAATGATAATTTATAGCAATTAGAATGGTATTTCTGTAGCATTGGTGGAAAGGGGGGGAAGCTTGGGTTATGCTTGATTTTGCTTGAGTTGAGTGTTATAGAAACCATTTGTTGCCTGTTTTACACCCTGTAGCAGATGATGAATGCTTTAATAAAGTGTACATCTGGAATATTTTCGGATTCAGGTTGATATTATACTAATTACAGTTAAAACACCAGACCTTTCCCTCAATATTTTATAAAACATTACTTTATAATTAATATTTTATAAGTCGGAAGTCTCAATCTGAACTTGTTTTTCAGGGAAATAAATAGCTCAGTTGCATCAGCGAGAAAACAGTTATTGGTGCAAAATGGTACCATTTTGGTACCATTTTAGGTAAAATTTAATATATATAAAGCATTGTAGACACCTCCTGGTCAAGCTCTTTAATATTTATACCTGAAATAATTTTAATGATTAATAAACAAAATATTATACTTTTGATCTGAAATAATATTAATCAGTAGTTTTTCATTCAATATAAGTTCCATCTTAAGCCATAGAATTTTTTTTTTCCTCAGAAATCTCTCTAAGTAACATCCAAAGCAGCTTACTCATTTCTTTTTGACATCAGTTATCCAGAATTTTTTACAAAACTACTTTGTAGTAAAAGGAAAACACTGTCATGTGTTCTACTCCAGGTAGTTAATTATTGCTTATTAAATGAATGTCTTCTGTTGTTTAAAGAAAGTGAATTAGCAATGCACTGGGCTGGATAATCTTTAAGAAGATAATGGCTACATCATCCCTACATGTTCTAATGTCTGTGATTAACTCTTAGATGCACACTTATCACCAGTTTCTAAATTAATTATCATTTCATTGTAACTGTTTTAGTCTCCAGTTTCCACTGTCTTTTTTTCCTGAGAACATAATGTAGACATTGAGACATTTTTGTTTCAGTAAAGATGACGTGGAGAAATGTAAACAAAAGGATTTACTAGAGCAAATGATGGCAGAGATGATTGGAGAGTTTCCAGATCTTCACCGAACAATAGTTTCCGAAAGAGATATTTACTTGACCTACATGCTGAAGCAAGCTGCAAAACGAATAGAACTACCTCGTGCTTCTGAAGGTATTCTGAAGTGTTTGAGCCCAAAATATATATTACAGTGAAAGTGGCTTTTCAACTCCGTTGTTTCTCAGAAATCTAAACCAATCTATAGAGATAACAGTTGAGTCCGCTTAAGCAAAGAGGTTAAATTTATGGAGTGCTTTAAAAATAACTTTCTTAGCTAGCAATTTTGCCTTTGTCTAGATTATCAAAGATGATCAAATCAAAATGTAACTTAAGTTTACACTCTTGATCTTAGTCAAAAAGGCCAAGAAGCAGTAAGTTTAAGTTTAAAATCAGCATTAATATGGTTACGCATGTATTTAATAACTTTGTCACATTAAGAATCATAATTAGTCAGATTTGGAGGAACACTGAGGGCATACCCATGTCTACATGTGACCAAGAACCCCAGGCTGCATCTCTCTCTTTTTGTGGATGTGACAATGAATGTTTTTGGGGATCATGCTAAACCATAATTTTCAAACCATATATTGTGGAATAAACCACATGTGCTAAGTCATGAGCCACAGTTTAGAATGGTTGGATTCACACATTGCACTTAGCAATTCACATTCTAGCTTAGCCCAGTGAATCAACCCAGTTACTATGGTTTACATACCATGTTTTAGCTTAGTGTTTTGTATATTTAGCTTATTTAAGAAGCCTTGAACAAACTATGACTTAGGACAATAGATTAACCCAGTGATCCAAATGTTTGCCACCCAGTTACTGTCATACTTTTTCAAGCAAGATCATAATAGGATAAATTAATTGGGTTTTTTTCCCCTTGTGATCAAGAAAGTTGGCAGCCATATTCCTCCATCTCCTCTTCCTCCTCCTTTTTTCCTCTTTTTACTTTGGAATGTTTATCCTGTGACATCTATCATAGACAGGGGAAAAGAGTGGAAGCTGAATGCTAGAGCTTGTGTTTTGGAGGCAGGTGACCTAAGCTTGAAACCTGGCATCAGGGAGAATTGCTTTCAGTTTCAGTAGATTAGGATTGGAGATCCTCTGGCTCTCCAGATGCTCAACTACAACTCCCAAGATCCTTCACTATTGGCCATGCTGACTTGGGCTAAATGATGCATTGGTTTGAATCCCCCCTGTTATTAATACAATAATGTAAATCATTTAACACTGATATTGCCATTGGTTGTTTTTTTTTGCTCTCCATCCTAGCTGAACCTAGAAGATGTGTCCCTTCTGTTGTAGTTGGGGTGGTCGGTATGGGTCATGTACCCGGGATTGAAAAGAACTGGAACACTGATTTGAATATCCAGGAAATAATGAGGTAATTCTCTCTCGGGTAGGTTTAGTCATTTTTCTTATAAGTTATAATGTCTGCAGTTACCTTGAGGCAAGAACAAACAAACAAAAAGCATAGGTGCAAATTATAATATTACAGATCACCCTAGTTGTGCTAAAATGGTTTTAGCTAGGTAGGAAATATATCTCAAAAATCAGTATTTGGCGGACTGCCTATTATACAATTTCTTACATGAAACAAATGGCTGCAAACAGCAATAGGAGTGAGACATCAACATCTAATCAGAAAAGCTTCTCATTGACAAAAAATATATGTTACCTATAAACACAGATATGTAAATACAAGTAGTCCTCGTTTAGCGACTGCCTCATTTAGTGACCGTTTGCAGTTATTACGGTGATGGAAAAGTAACTTTGTGATCAACCCTTACGTTTATGACCTTTGTAGGTTTGTAAAGCAAAGGAAAGCTGAAGTAAGATCATAAGCACAGTTGCGGTTTCACTTAGCAACC